GTTTGATTAATTATTTAGTTTAAACTTTTGTTTTCAATTTTATTTATTTTTGTTTTTATGTATTTCTTTATGTCTTCATTGTTTTTTATATTTTTAAATGTAATACATATGTATAATAATATTTTATGGTTATAAGAAAATCAAGCTAAAGAAACCATCTCATTATTTTACATTGGATGTTTGTTTCTTTCTCACATATTCATGTATATTTATTTTAATTTCAAAAGTATGTAATTTTTTAACAAAATAAACTTTTTGTTATATAATTATCAAACCAATTTGTAAGACATTCTTTTAAGAATAATGATCCTTATATTTAGTTTGTGATTCAACATGTAATAATATAAACAACATTATAATTTTTGTTAACTTTGAATTTTATACTTGACTTCCTATATAAAAAACAATTTGATATTCAATTTTCTATCTATTATATATACTACAACGATGAAAAATATAATTAAACCTAGAGATATAGCTTAAGTTAAGAGGAATATAACAACAAATTAAAAAATAAAATTATTCTTTGGGAATTTCAATTAACATATTATAAAATATAATTATAACTCCTCTAATTTAATTATTTTATAATTATAACTTACATCATATTTTATCCTATAAATACTCATTTTTACATCCTCCTCCACCATATATGATATTCTCAATATTTTCTTTGTTTAATTTTTAATGTTCTTGCATGGGTTGAAAACTCAATTAAGATATCATTGTAAGAGCTTGATTATATATTTGGTTAAAACTTTTGTTTTCAATTATATTTCTTCTTTATTTTATGTACTTTTTCATTTTTTAATTGTTTTCTATACTATTAAATATATAATACATATGTATAATAATATTTTATGGCTATAAGGAAATTACTTTATCGATGGGATTCAAAAATATTGATTTCTAACCATCGCACCATAAGAAAATCAAGCTAAATAAACCATGTTCATTGTTTTACTTTATATGTTTTTTTCTTTCTCACAAATTCATGTATATTTATTTTATTTTCAAAGTATGTAATTATTTTAACAAAATAATTTTTGGTTATATTCAAACCAATTTGTAAGACATTGAAACAAATAAAATTTTATACACAAATAAAGATATTTTGTGTGTATATTTATAAGTTTACACACATATATGGATAAATTTTAACATTTTTAGTGGTTGTTTTGATAAAGTTTGAAAATGGGGTAAATTTAAAAAGTGGTATTTTTAAAAGGGTATTTTTAAATTCTCCCAATATCATTCCTATTTTTATCATTAACAATATTATGGTTTTATCAAAAAATACTTAAAAGCACTAAATAAAATTACTATAAAAATTGAACAATTAATCAACGAATAAATTCAAAAGATATGGATGTATGCTTCTATTGTATGATTTAAATAAATAAAATATAAAAATGTCATAAACATTAAAATTTATTTAATCTATTTTTATAAGTAATAAATAAATTAAAATAATTAAATAAATATAGAACAACCCGCGCATATGCGCGAGACATT